CTTCTGAAGTCGTTTATGCGACTCGTTCCTACTACTGCGGCGTTGCAGGTGAAGGGCGCTCGAATTGATTACGAACACAGCCAAGTCCACTCATTAGAGAGAAAAAGACGTACTGAAGAGGAATTTCAAAAGTTTCCTGTGGGTTAAAAATTGATGTGATTTCTTCGAAAATCTTATCATTAGGATTGAAAGGGATCGGCAGCATCAGTGATGCCATATCTGTATGCAGAAGACCATTTTCTTGAACTTCATATTTTCCTTGTGAATGAATTTTGGGAAAGTAACAGCTTAGAGCATGGTCTCATTCATAGCACTCTCTTGATTTCTGCATTTTAACATATCCTTTTGAGTTCCCATTTTATACATCATTATTGTAAAACACTGTATAACCGCCTCTTTGTGCTTAGAAAAAGCGGGACATAATACTACTCTATCCCACTTCATTAGTATACTTTTTCTACCATCGGTAAAACCATTGCCTCCTTTTTGCCTTTCTCCTTAGAGGCGAAGGAGACTTGGGAGCACTTGAAATCCCTTCTTCTAGTTTTTTAGGAGAGTCAGCCCTCTTTTGGCTTTTCACTATCCACTTGAGGATATGTCTTTTATCCTATGCATATTGCATCGTTCGTGCGCCTCCGTATCAGGGGACTGTCTCTGCATGGGAACGGCGATTATCTGGCGCTTTAATTCTCCATCTTCCATGTGGCATTATGGGAGGAATTCGGCGTTGAAACTAACCCTGTTATGGTGGCTAATTAAGGGTTTGACTTGATGAATGATATGAGGTGAAAAATCGTGGGTCACAAGGTCTGCCAGCTACATTCGTTTGGTATGAGGCTGTGTTCTTTTTCGTCACTAACATCACTTCTGTGTGAAGTCCTGTTTTTCTCCTGTAGGCTTCGAGTCACCACTATACGTAGTCTCTTTATTAGCTGTGGAAGACTGGTTGGTTAGTTAGATTCCGGTGAAATCAAAACATTGTTTTCCTTCATACTTCGCAACTGATCGTCAAGGTTGAGCCTAACTACCGGTGATATGGCAGGTATTTCACCTAGTCCCTGCTTGACTGCGCTTTACGGCAGGCATATTGACTTATATCCCATTCTACTGGCATAGAACTCACCATTCACTTAATTCAAAATATAATCCTGGCCAAGGCAGTCACGATTTTCACTTCTCTCCAACGCTGAAGCGTCGTTGCCATTTACAGCCTATCTTTCATCTATTGCCATAATTTTACACCTGATACTTCTCGTTTGGGACTTTAATTTAGTGTTTGGTCTTCTGCCTACTTTTCAGTGGTTTTGCAGCTTTATCGAATAAGTATTATATATGGACCGTAATTTTTGGTTTTCTTAAGGTGGCCCTCTGCGAAGCATTATGAATTTTTAAGTCCATACCTCGTACCAAACGCACGTGAACATTTTGCTAATTTAGCTCAACTCATTGGCTGGTTTTTCATCCCTATCCCTTTACCTTTGGTGCTTTTTAGTAAAGAAATAGTGACAGAGAAAATCATCGTCACTTAAATGAACTTTCCATGCAAGGTGCTGCAGGTAGCTTTTTATCTAACACTTCCTTCAAACTTGGTTTTTACGAATAACTGTTTTAAATGTAAACCACACGGAATAGTTCTTTTTTTAAGGCAGAGGAATTGGAATTCAGTACATATCATGTGCCGGCAATTCGACAAATTTTCGTATTGAAGGTCCACGGGAATTAAACTGCTTCTGAACTGCCTTTTATTTTAGGCGATAAATTTTAATGCGCTACTTGCTCATTTCTCTTGTCAGTTTCCTAGAATGTTGTGATCTGTTGAGACTGAGTAATGCACACGGAAGGATATAATCATATCGGCACGTTAAACGTGTGATCCTTAAGCTTTAGATTCACGTTTAAAATTGTCGTTTGGCCAGGATTTCGAATTGCTATTGGAGAACTCTATTATTGAACTTGGTCTGCGAGAGCGAGGTATTTGGTCCAAAGATTGCCTTCAATTTCCCCTTTATCAAAGCTAAAAGTCGAAGTTCTTTGTGTGAAATCCTCCCTATTTTCTCTCATTTTTCTCATTTTCTGGAAGCCGAGGGCAAAGTTGTGGACTATAGGGTTTTCGATTCTGCACGAAATCGGCGATCATCGACTCGCTTTTCTTTAAATCCTACTATAAGCATTAATTTCATGCTTGAAAGTTGAGTCGTTTGTAGATTTGCATTGTTTAAATCAATTTGGATTGTTAACTGCGGTAAGGAGAAGGCCTTCTTCTGTGGTGCATCAAAATACTCGCCCTTTTCTCATTTATTTAAGGAGCAAGAGTTTAAGAAAGGTGAAACCCTTTCCCGTCTTATTGCCCTTTGACACGTCCTGTTTATTCCCGAAAATTTCAAGAAATACGTTTGAAGGCTTGAAGTGCTGGCGATTAAGAACAAGTTGTTTCACCCTCTTCCCCTCTCCCTCAAAGAGCTTTGATCCTTTCAAGGTACTCGAACGGCGATTGCGCAACAGCGCTAAGAGCAGCCCTGCTCTCTGTGACTGGTAGCACAGGTCTCCATACTGGGTGTAGGTTCAATCCCAAGACATGAAGATTTATTCCCAAGTGCAGCAAAATAAACAATTCGATTGTTCCTACTTTTCCCTCTATTTTTAGTCAGGTGACTCCAGCACCGGTTCCCATGACTAGCCGACCTTCTAAGGGTCACCATAGTCTCTTGACAGGCACCAGCCTCGCCAGTACGACCAACTCCCATCACAATGAGCATCCCCTCTTGACACGCGAACTGCCATCGGTCAATGAACAGCATACCCTACCCTCTAGCACTGCACCTCGATCTGCGTAAGTTCTGCACCATATTTATGAACTCATCATTCCACATTATCTAGTTAGTAGTTTTAAGAAGAAAAGGCTGTTTTTTGCCATTTTCTGTAAGACTACTTAATCACTGTTGCGCTCTAGCCTTGGTTTGCTTTCACCTTCGGTCTTGTTTTAACGAGTTGAAATCTTGCAACGAGTTTTAGGGAACTAAATAACAATCATCTGTTTTAATTTTTTTCCGAACTGATCGGAACTGTGCTTATTGGCTATTCATTAACGGGTTTTGCAAAACTTCCCATTTTATTGTCGTATCAAAATTGAGTTATTAGGAGCAAAGCCCAACGCACCATAGCATTTGCCTTTTGAGAAACTTGAAGTCGCAGGCGTACTTCTCACCCCATTAATTCTCTCGAGTAGGTATAAGACCGTGTATGATAATAAGCAGCTTGAAAAGAGCAGTGCGCGTTGAGTCTAATGCAAAGCTCATGCGTCAGATTTCAAGCTGCACCATGTTCTACTGCGCCACAAACGAAACTCGCAAACACTTGATTTGTTACTGTGTTTTCATTGGCCTTACTTTATTGGGGCAGTAGCTATTATGTAGGGCAATTTACTTGGTAAGCTTTTGACCACGACTTTATTTCATCCAATTTGTTTTCAAGACGTGCCTTCTTCTGATGGTTGATTACCATCACCATTCACCATGTTCGTTGACCATTCTTTCATCAGCCACATTCCTACCAAATCCTTTGACATTTCTGTGGTACTTATGCACCAGAATTTATGGCCTTTAAAGTGGCACTTGCATCTGGCTTACTTTTTTTTCCAAAAGCCCATCTGAAGAATAAGGATTGAGGTGTTAACTTGGAGAAGGTAGTTACGATGTGCCGTGATGGTAGCTAGAACATCACAGTTAAGTAAACACATTACGACGAATGATCCCCTGTTACCTCATGGATTGGCCTTGACCTGATGTTCAAAATATTTTCCCGTCCCATCTCCCCTGTACTTTTGTCCTAAAACCGGCTCGATTGCCTTTCCCTATAGGGCCCGAACCTCGATGTACTATTATTTTGAATATCCAAAATCGCTCTATTTCAGCATAAAAGACACCGTCTCTCCGAACTTCAACCGACGCAAACTTGAATACACCTCTCTTAGGTATTCACATTGTCGCAGTCACATACCCCTAATCTCACACTTGCATTCAACCGCTTCACCTAACTGGTTGCCCCAGCCTCCTCTCCCAACTGTTGTATTTTCGTTTGCTCGGTCTCGTCTGTCGCACGCCTCCCCTTCGATCTCCAACCTTGCATGTCTGCTAATGCCTCCCATATTTCTTGTTTGTCACATGTTTGGCGTATTCACATGAGACCTCATTGTCATTAAATGTTGTTGTCTTTTTACAGAGGGAAAGAATTAGCACCCTCACCCTTTCTACGACAAAGGTTCAACTACACATCGCTTAGGTAGCTACCAATCCGTGGTGCCTCTCATCCTCTTTATTCTCCCTTTCACCTCATCATTAAGCACTATAATTTGCGCACCAACAATGATGCACCCTAACACAGCATACTTAATTGCCATGTCTTCCTACTGCTTCTCATTTTTGATTAACATTTTTTCCTTCTATTTGTAGAATGGGTGCTAATGTGGCGGCTCCCGGAGGTCAACTAGTTAGCGCCGCAGGTCGGACCAACCTTGCGCTATCCGGAACGTCCTCCGCGACTCCTGGCGTTAGCGGTGCTGCCACCATGGCAGGTACTGGAAACTTCTCACGTCTTACCGCTGAGCGGAGGACCATTCATACGGCTCCTCATCAACTCCCCTCTTCATTAGACGACTATGATACTGGTACTAGCATAGCGGCGCGAAATGTCGGCCTCTCCGAGGTCTCTAACACTGCCACTTCCGGTACGGGAGCAAATTCCAGCAGTGGAGCTGTCAATTTCTTGAAGAGTCTTACTCAGAAGATTGGCCGAAAGTAGGTGTTTTTGGTCCATTAAACGTTGCTATTGCTTCACTCCAAAGATTCATTCCAAACAGCACTTGTTTGAGAGGTTGCGTATGTCTCATATGGGATAATTATTTTGATGATCGATTTACATCCTCAGCAAAATTTTGCTAAAGTTTTGCAGTCGTCAATATTGGTATCATGGCGCAAAAATTGATACCGTGTAGCGCGTAAAAGCCCAATTCCAGTTCAAACTTCCTGTCTTAGGTGTTTAAAATGGTTATTACTCTTGCACTAACTTTTATCCATACAGCCGTCCGGGAATAAACCCCTCAACGCCGGTGACATCGCCACAAACAGCCATTATGACCACTTCAACAATATCCTCAAGCGCCTCCGGCGGTGGTACGGAGAAGTCCGACTTGGTGAGCGGCTCGAATGCGCTAGACAACCGTCTGGTTGTCGGCTCCAGTGTTGAAGGCGGCAATGACGGCACTTTGAAACCTCGTAGTTTGCGTTTCACATGGACTATGAAAACAACCTCCACTAAGGATCCGACAGTGATGCTTAAAGAAATTAAGAAGGTGCTAACTGAGCAAAACTGCGAATACGAACAGCCGGAAACCTACCTCCTTGTCTGTCGTCATGGCGATCCGGAGGCGGACACGTGCGTGCAGTGGGAGATGGAGGTGTGTAAACTCCCGCGACTCTCCATGAACGGAGTGCGGTTCAAGCGTATCTCAGGCACAGCCATTGGATTCCGCAACATTGCTACGAGAGTGTCTGATGCACTGCAGCTGTAAGGAAAGCTTCATCGGTGGTCTCTCCCCTTTCCCGTCTTCTATCTCCCCTCTCTTTTCTTTCCTTCCCTGTCTACTTATTTTGCATTTCCGCACATTTCTTCTTTCTTTGCCACTGTTGCCACCTGATTCATGCAATGGTCATCGCGTTTTTCTATGCACCACCATCACTTCCCAGTTATGTAAATACACACAAAGAAGCATACGTAAACATACGCAGTCCCATCTAGTTGTTGGAAGTGTTTTGCCTCTCCTCTCTTCCCTCCTCAACTCTGGTTCGCATATCCCGGTTTTCTTGTTTCAAGTTTCCATCCCTCTACCTTTGACGAATTTCTTCTCTCTTCCTCTCAGTTTTTTTTGTGAAGCTCCACGTGTGCCCTCCCTTGGCCGATCCTTCCCCTCTCATCCACCTGGTCACTTTGCGTGATGTGAAGTAGCGCGATGGGTGACTCTGCCCTCTTTCACCCTAAACTGCAAAAACGATACCTCTCGAAAAAGGGACCTCATATACGCAAATCCACCCATCCTCTTACCCAACTCACCACTTGCTCGCTCACCCGCCTCACACAAAGCATTATACATAAAGGGTAAATTGTCAAATGGTTTTCTAGCATTTGGATGGAAATGAGGCTGGAGCCCCTGAGCAACGTTATTCGAGAACCACGACTCTGAGTTAGTGACGCAACCACTGCTTTGGTAACTGTAATGGTTGATATCATCCACAAACTAACTGGCGTTGTTACTTGTATTGATAGGAAATATACCGTACACAGCCCTTAGTCGCTGAAATGTCCTGTCTCCGGCTGAGGGAATTCATGTAATCTGCAAGTCGGGGTATGGAGGTGGAAGACTAGTAGCCCGAGTTCCAGATGAACAAGGCTGCATTGCTTGCTAATAGAGGCAGAACAACCACGAGAAGAGGTTTGTCACGTTACCGCGACCAGTTTTGTCAATGTCGTTGTCAGGTAAACTCCGAGGCTCGGTTTGCGTACAAGATCCAAAAGTTGAGCAGCATATAAAACTTAAGGACCGTCATCGGTTTGCGTAGTCATTGGTTCAGCACAGTGCCAATGGATTCCCTTATCCGAGATTTTAGCTTCTAGTGTCTGTCAAAGCCTGGATTAATGCACAATTACACCTGGAATGAACCAAAACAAACTAACCACTTTGTCATCTCCGATAACACAGAGACAAAGTTCTGGTACTACGATCCACCTCATAAATAGCGCAACCGAACATAAATCACCTAGACATGAGAAGTCCAGCGCCATGGCATAACAGGGCCTTGTGCATAGATCGCTAAAGACCACCAACAGCCAGCACCAATGGAACCAAAGGCATGAGTGTACATTAGGCTTCAAGCCCAAAACTTTAGTTATTACTTCCCTCGACTGCAACAGTGGATGAGGTTGGACGACGCTCAAATGAATCCTCATCTAATATCTTGAACACGCGGCGTCGTCGATCGAATTCGCTCTTAAATCTCTCTGCTCTTTCGCTCTCCCGACGAATGCGTATCGCTTTCTCACGCTCCGCACGAAGGTACCGGAGTGTCCACGTTGAAAACATTTCGTCTTCCGCGTCTGTGCTTGTCTGAGGTTCTAGGTGTTCCTCAGTCAGTCGTTGGACCGGACGACCCAGCTTGTCCACACCCTCCACCTCTCTTGGACCCACCCATTCACCGCGCTCCAGCTCACAGATAGCTTTGTCGCGCTCCTCAATCACTTGAAGAATATTTTCCATGCTCTCTTCAACCTGTTTAAAAATTTCAACCTTATATTTCAGGGACTGATAGTACCTTTTCAAAGCGCTCCGGGTTGGGCATACGTTCGAGCCTTCGCCAATGCTCCTCCTCCATTGTCATCAACATATTTCGTTCCTTGAGGAGAATATACCACAGACAATGGAGGTCGGCGGAATTTTTACGGCGTAGCTCGTCTACGCGCCATGGCCTTCCAGCTTTGACACTAACCACTCCCCAGTTTTTAGGATCGTCAAAAAATTCATTAAGGTCAAGTATTTTTGCTGAGAGACTGATGCTTCTGCTCACACTCTTTTGGACCAAGGCGAATCTATAGGAGAGTGGAGACTAGTCACATTACACCTACCGCCAAGGCAGTAACCAGAATCGCATAAGTATACGTCTCTTATTGGCTACTTCGAATTAAGCGCTTAATAGAATGAGAAACGCTAACAATGATTTAAATTTGGTGATCAAACTGATTGAAGGCAAGTTCTTATTTAGGAGTAATTTAGCTACCAACTTAAAAGTACAAATAATAACTGCGTTCTTTTGCACCTTTGTTGACTGCTGATGAGGGTGGCAGGGTCAAAATTGAAGAAAATGCCATATTAGTGGGCTGCTGATGTGAACCTGACTCACTTAGGTGGCATCCCTAAAAGTGCAGTAGAAACTGATTTTTAAGTGGGAAAATTTAAGTATTTTTACCCTGTGCTAAGTCCTTTTCTAACGTTCTTTAGAAAGGTGTGAGGTCGTAATAGGCTTTCACTAGTCTGATCATCGCCCTTCGTAAGTAAAGCGGTGTGAAAATCTGCCACTGAAAATTACTAGAAAAGTTGTCTTGTATAATCACGCTAGAGGTTTCAATCGCTGAGACTGTCAGTTATATGAATTCTGCTAAGTATAACTTAGTCTTTGCGCTGCAGTTTAGTCCCATGCGCTGTATGACTACTATCGCCCATTCATTACCATTTTGCAAGACAAGAGTTAGACTGGCAATCGATGTAATATGCACTGCTAGCCTCCGACAAAATCCATTTGAGGCTGTTTAGGAGGTCGGAAACAAAAACTCAGTCACACAAAAGCGCATGAATTCCTTATTAAAGCACAAATTCCATTGTGGTAGATAATCCACAACAGTTATTAAGCGAGTGTCAAGGCAATGGATAGAAAACAATGCTCGCTATGAGGGCCATCCTGTTTCTGTCTGTGGACTGAGCTTTGGGATTAATCAATTCTTGAGACCTCTCATTTGGAGGTTGAGGGCATTGGACATGGGTGCTACGTGTCTTTTAGAGGTTTAAGGAGAGTAAAAGGTAATGATATGGCTCGAAATACAACCCATCCAGCTTACTCTTGTGAGTAGCCGAAAAAAATAAAGCATTGCTGTTATCTTCATGGACTTCGCATTTGATAGAAGTATGCGCGCAAGGAAGCGGGGTGATATTAGGCTCTTTTTGGCCCAAAGACAAGTGCACGCAAATACGAGAGGGGTAAATGTTAAAGTGTCTGTAACGTCTTAAGGCTTCCCATAGGGTAGTAGAAGACATAAGTAAGGTTGATTACATATATTCCGAAGATGACGGAGCAAATGGAGCCTGAGCTTAGCTCGAAGGCCAGCCCACGTGTACAGGGGTCGGGCAACTTCAAAAGTAACCACTAAATGTCAGGTAGTCACATAAATAAACCATTGCAATGTCCTTCAATCATGCAAGTGGTCAAATGAACAAGGTATTACAAACATGGAATGATGCTATGTTAGGTCACTTAGGAGGGATGTAGCTATAATATCGATACTAATGTGCTTGAGCTGCCCTTAGGGAGGAGAGCAGCTTGTCGTTTTGAACGCGAATTTCGTGCTTAAGGAGAACAAGTACCACCGTCTTAACCACATTTTCTACTCTGTAAAGGATGCTTAATAAACTCTCTCTAAACAATCCTCTCCTAGGTCAGAGTTTCAAGACCATCTGATATCTGGCTTTACTTTGGTATTTGTTGATCCCTGTGCGCATGGACCGGCACTGGGAGCACTCCAAGGCCCTATTGTAGCATATACGAATGTGTTTAAGTTGTCCTTACAGAATAAAGACGGTCGTTCGAATCGGGAGCGATCTTTTTTTGTACTAATCCTTATAGAATGTACCTACATTATATGATGAGTAAATCTTAATCCTAAGAAGAGTGCGTTAAGGACGAGAACAATGAGGAGGAAGGTGTCTGTAGTTTGCCCGTCGTGAGGCCTTCTTCTACCTTGGGGAAGTCTCGATCACTACCCAGTTTATGTGACCACCTGATGTTTTACGGCTATTTTGGCGTTCGTCTCGTCCGTGTGCGCGTGGGCTGGCCCTAGAATACATGTATGCATCCTAACGCGACGCCTTCTTCTCCTGGGTGAAAGACTTTGAAACGCTTAACTCAAAAGGCTATATATATTATTGAAAGTATATGCTCTTTGATTTTTGGGGTTTACTGCTAGTAGAATTAATTTCTAGATCCCTTTCTGATGCTGTAAGTGATCAAGTAAAAACAGATAAACAGATTACGATACTCGGGAGATTTAATTAAGCGTTACAGATTTCTAAAGTGGAAGTAATGTTTGCACGATTAGGAATAATGAAAATAGTACAAGCATTTTGTTATAATTAGTCGATCATAAATTTATACGTGTTACCAACAATTTGTTCCATTTTGAGTTGTGTTGGATGGCACTGAATGGCAAAGTTTGCGTCGTCGTCGGTGCTAGTGCAGGCATCGGTAGAGCTATTGCGCTGAGATTTGGACAAGAAGGAGCTAAGATAATCGTATGTGCCAGAAGAATGGATTTATTGGAATCACTTACAGAAGAGATAGGAAAAAATGCCATTGCGAAGCATTTGGATGTTACTAACCATGAAGAGGTAAATTAACTACCTTGACTAATTTTTAAGGTCGAAAAAACAGTTAATTGCATATTCACTGATTACGGCAGAATTGATATTCTTGTTTACGCTTCTGACATCTTTACATACTCTCTAATAACAAGCAAATTGTTCGACGATTGGCGTTCTATGATTGCTACCAACTGCCAAGTAAGGGAAGTAAGCGTTTAGGTCCTTATTTGACAATATCTTAAACAAAGCCATTGTTTGTATGTATCAGGGTCTAGTTGATGTTGTTGGATCAGTTTTCGCCGAAATGCGGAGCAAAAATTTAACTGGCAATATCGTCGTCATTAGTTCGGATGCAGGTCGTGTCCCTTTTCCTGGTTTAGCCGTCTACTGTGGCACCAAGTTTTTTGTTGAGGGGTTTCTGCGTTCCCTTCGTTTGGAGTCGAAACCCAATGAAATTGTTATCACCTCAATACAGCCCGGTGATGTTGCAACTCCAGCACAGCAATGGACTACGGACACTGAGGTTTGGAGTGGTCAACTTAAAATATACTTGCGTATGGATGGTGGAGAAAACTCTTAACAGTCATTTTTGCTTGTAGCTTTGGATACATGTTCTCTTCCCTAAATGGGTATTTAAGGCTTCATCTTGACTTTCCCATTTTAGGCGGCCCGACTATTTTCTCCGCTTTACCGACCTCCCGAAGAGTGTCAGAAGGCATGGGATGCAATACTAAAACCTCAGCAGGTTGCTGAAGCAGTGCTCTTTGCCGTCTCCCAGCCAAAAGGCACTGCCATTAACGAGGTGCTTATCGAGCCAATTACAGGTCCCGTCTGAGCGCTTTTTTCTTTATTGTTTATTATTGCTACTATCACTACCCCTGATATTAACTATTTTTCATATCTCATCGTGGTGCTAGCCTACGACTTATATCTTCGTGTATTCATCGCATAGGACGTTTGTGTAGAGTGCGTTTTGAACTGTTGAGTATTTTGGAATTACATAGAGTTACATTGCCTATATTATCGTATTTTTCACCCTTTTTATAAGGTGGCGCCAAATAATCTTTTAATCCAGCCTAAAGAATTCTTTTTACTGCAGTTACTAAGAGCTAAGGTCGGTAGTTAAATGCAGACTTTTGAGTGTCTTGTTAATATGCTTCTAATTTATGAATGCGAGTGCTGTAACGGCACATTGCATTAGCATCTGAAGTTTGGTGATACGCTTTAATATGGCAGAACGCTGCTTGCATCGCATATCATTCATAATTGCTGCAGCTAGAAACTAACAATTTCAACATGTTAACTAGTTCTCAGTAGACTTCATCCTTAAAACTTCCTATTCATATTAATATTTAGAGATCGGCATAACTACCTACTTTAAAGTTCTATGACGTTCCAACGCATTGCTTAGCGTGTAGCGCGCCTTTCGAGACACATCTTCTACTTATACTGCTGAATCAGTTAAATTAAGATGGAAATGAACAGGACGTAGAAACTAGGACTAGAACCATTTTATCGGGATAAGAAACATGGCATCGATTCTCTTAGCTTAAAGCAAGATTAACTAATTCTGTTGGAAAAGTAAGTCGGAAATATTTATTCATAAACATTCCTTAATGGCAAAAGCGCTTCACATTTCGAGAGTCTTGTATGCGACTTACAATTACTGGGAGTCGTCTTCTAAAGGCAGGTTATAACTAACATTACTAACTTCACAAAGACTTTTATCTTGCCAATTACTCATTTGCACAAAGCTTTACGGCCACCAAAATCTAGGATAAGTTGTTGAAACATTTCATACTATTATCGGTGCATCTTACTGCAATAATTTACGATTCCAAAAAATAAAATATTTCATCGGGTTTCAAGGAGTTGTTTAATTCAAGTATCTTGTTTAATTAGTTGAGGAATGGCTCGAACTGGTGCCACACTTCAGATTAAATTTCATTTGTAAATATATAAAATTGGAAAGTATAAATGCCTTAAATACTTGCAGTAAATTGCGAACGTGCTCATTTCAAGCGATTACTCGTACCAGTCTTGCATGATTTGAACTAAACAAGTACAGAGTCTACGATACTACTTAATGCGACTCATTCTGCATGAACAAGATGCATCGGAAGGGTTGGGATTGCGAGTGCTGTTTGCAATCAATCATTAGTGTGCGCTGTTAAAAGGACGATCACTCGGTCTGAAGGACGACAGATATGTTGTTTTTTTCGCACTCTAGTAGACAAATAAAAATGATTTAGCTAAATTCAGGAAGGTTAGCTATTTCCGCACTTTATGTTCGAACAAACGTTAGTTAGGCCCTGAAAGCAAACATGATATTTGTTATTTCCGCAGAACCACAGTTAGATTGTGTTTAGACCACTGCCTTGAACCCCTTTATGTTTCCTATTTGGCTTAAGATTAAAACACCAAATGTCTACTGTCTGAAGGCAGATAAAAAATAATTCCACTAGATTAGTCTCGACAAGAAGCGGGATCTGATTAATGAAGGCAGTATAATCCTGACTAACACGGTGGGCGCTCCTCACCCTTCCGAGGCAGTGCCATCACTTTTCCCACCTACTCCCCTATAACCAACAATCAGCAACACCCAACACGCATCTTTTCAGACTTACTCATACACAAGTCGATGTCTCTGATGGACAAGTCGGATGAGACATTCGGTCATCCCACATGCACCACACGCATGCTATAATCCGTAGCCCAAGCATGTGCCTGCATGAGGCATCAAACCATGACAATGACCACTCCTACCACAGACAAGTCCACAGTTCTGCGAAGGGCAACACATTCATGGAAGCACGCTGTGGCATTGCTGCAGAGACACCACATGTCCACTCAACCAACCCACTTAACAGTCCAAACCTCTACTAACCTAATGAAGTCTATCTCCACCTCACCAAACGTGCGCCACACGCTCGCCTATACAGCACCAGAGGTAATTGAGATGCAACCACACGTTGGCGCATTTGTAGATGTCTACCTCCTGCCCGTGACCCCATCCTCACTCATCCT